CCTCCTCCTCGGACCGATGTTCCACATACTCATGAACCACTCGACGATCAATCCTCCCGCGCCGCTGGCTCATGACCGCCTGCTCCGGGTACATCGCCGGCGCAGGACAGGCCGGCTCCGCGGTTCTCCCGTTCATCACCGGTCTTCTCGCCCAGAAGTTCGGGATCGCGTCCCTGCAGCCCTTGTCAGTTCTCTCCTCCTTTGTCTGCTGTCCTGCACGCGTCACTGACCGGAGCTGGTTCTGCCCCTGACCTACCGCACGAACGTGACTTATACGAGCAGTTACCTGACGGTGGTGTGCGGACGTACTCGTACAGCGTGGTGTCGATGATGTCCACGCTTATCGTGCTGTGGGCCGTCATCCCGCGCGCCCGGTACGTGCCCACGTAGGACTCGCGCGACCTTCCACGGTACGCGGTGCGAGGGAGCCGGCGGAACGAGGGGACCAGCGGATGGGCTCCCGCAGAAGCAAGTGGACATGTGCACATGTATCTGTCGATCGGAACTTGAGGGGTATCCGCACTGACACCGAACAATGAGGCCGCCGGTCCCACACCGACCAGTTGTTGAATTACTTATACTGCTACCGGAATGTTCGTGTCTTTGTTTGGCTGACTAGGCACCACGGAATTCTGAGGAATTTGGTGCTCGAGGAGAGAAGATTCTGGTCAGAAGTCGGAGTAGAGGAGGTATGTAGATGGCTGTAGACAACCGAAGGAGTCTTGTCACAAATCCAGAGAGTTATATCCGCGGGCGCCGTTACCAATTAGTAGGCACTCTACATGACAGAGGCTCCGTCGGTGAGCGGAATTGTCATTGTGAACGCGGTGGGATCTAGCGAGAGTATCTAATGAGCATAGGTTGTTAGTTCGCTTCGTAGCGCATCAGTTAGATCCGGACCAAGCTTAAACATCACCGTCACCGCAGACCTTTTGATACACGCATAATATGGCTGGCTTGTCTCGCAATCAGCATGCAGGGTTATGGGACGCCCTGAGATCTCAGATGAAAGTACCTGTGGACGTTGATGCGGACGACCCGCGCAGTCTGCGGTCCGGTGACCATTACTTACTCAGAGCACTGGCTACTTATAATCGGAGTTTGACAGGAGTCGGTCGCGAAGGATCCGGAGATATTCGCCGCTGCGGCACTGTGGAAGCCATCAGCCGGTGCAAAAGAACGTGGGCCGCTGGGACCTCACCAGTCGTGTAACGGGCGGTGATGTTCTCTCCTCGTCTAGACCTGGAGGTACACCGGTTGTGGCGAAGAGTCGCCGTCACGATGTCCTTCATGTCCGAAGCCGCAGCGCCATGGTCCCACTGAACATGTCGGCGTGTATGCAGGGGCCGTCCGGACGCAGATATAAACTTCTGGAGCGCCGAATAGGTATAGCTGGTACACACAAGATTATATTCCCTAGATCAGCAAACACGAGGACCCGACACAACAGCCCGATCGTGGCAACTCTGCGCCTGCAACAACGTGAGAAGCGCATCAGCGCGCCCGCAAACAGCAACGCACACAAACCCCATATCTTCATATCTTCACTGCATCTTCGTCAGCTGCGCCGCCATGGCGGCCATCTGCACCGTCGCCTGCCACCACACCGCGAAGCCCAGCCCGAGGAAGCCGTGCAGCGTTCCCCAGACGATCTCCGGCGTCGCACGGTACCTGCAGCGCCCCGAGACGTGAGCGGCGAGTGCGGTGAGCATGTATGAGAGACGTACGACTCTGCGAGGGCCCCGAAGGAGTACGGGATGAACCGCGGGGCGTTGAAGAGGATGGTCGAGCACGTGGCGTGGTAGACGCAGAGCGCGATCGCTAACGCCCGCTTGCCCGGGAGGAACTCTGCGACACCCGAGACAATTCGTCAGACGGTCAGTTCATTGGCCGATGTGTTAGGAGACCGGGGACTTACCAGGAAGGCTGAAGCACAGGAGCGACGCGATGCACGTCCCGGCGACGAGCGCGCCGTAGAGCTGCGGAATTAATTCAGCATTCCCACTTCGTGCGCGTGACGCAGACGAAGCAGGACGCACCTTAATGAACACCAGCGTGGTGTTCGTCATCTGCAAGAACGGCAGAGCCAGTGGCGACCACAGTCCCTGGATGGCCATGGGCACGTCCAGCGCGATGTGAAGCAAGAACACGATAGACCTAGAACTCCGATAAGCTCCCTAATGCGCGCAGTTCAATTTCGAGTCCCCAACACGCACAGCGGGTGTTTGGCGGCGACTGTCTGCGACATGGTTGCCGAGGTTAACGCGTCGTAGTGCTCGACGGAGGAACGTTGTGCGGGACGGTGGCGGGCGCAGGAGGCAGGTGGAGGCGCCGCCGGCTACGGTAAACCAAGACAATAACGACCACGTGGCACGCGGTGGGAGATCTCAGATGGGATCGGGATCGCCGACTGGTCAAGCAGCATCGCCTCAGTTGCTTCCGGCAAGTCTGAACATACAGACGGTACGCGGCACAAGCTCGCAAACGGTTCACTGAAGCAGGCTGCTGGTCTCATGCTTGAGCGGGGAAGCGCACGGAGGTGTCGTGCAAGCAACCGCCCGAAATCGAGCCCGGACACACGGCTGAATTCCGCGGTAAGTACACGATACAATATCACGATAATTCGTACATCTCATAAATTTCTACATCTATCGACCGGCCACCCAAACCCCAAAAGAGAAAACGCACGCAACCCAAAAGCCGAAGACGCAGCCCGTAACGTGGGTCATTAAGCCCATCACGGGTCTCCGTCGTCGTCGTAGTCTCCCTCCTCCATGACCGATCCCGCACGGCCTCCAGCGATCGCCCGGCTGAGACCTCCTCCACTGAGCTCGCACGCATCCAGATCCCGCTCGAGGTCGATCATATCCTGGCCTTCAGGTGGCACAGCAGCCTCGTCGCCCACCAGCTCCCGGAGCCGGCGCACCTCCTCGCGCAGCCGGCCAATCTCCTCATCGCGGCGCTCCACGCGACCTTTCAGCACCTTGATGAATTCGTTGCCACAGCGGAGCAGCTGCAGCTTGCTGACGCCGCGGTTCGGGCCCTCAGCGTTGCCCTTGGGCGGGCCACGCGGCGGCATAGCTCCGGGCAGGATGGGCTCGTCCGGGAACCCGTCCTCGGACGGGAGGGGAATGGGTGGCAGGAGGATGCGGAGGTCGTCGAACGACGTCTTGAGCGAGTCGCGCCGCTTCTGCTCTGCCGCCTTGTGCGAGGATTTGCGGATTTGCGGTGGCATGAACGGCGTACTCGGGGAGGCCGTCAACGGAGTCATTACTGCGTTGCCAGCTAGCGCGAATTAGCGGACGCGATCTCTAGCGGATAAAGGGGACGTACCGGGACGGATCGGTCGGTGTTGACCACCGGCAGTTTTGTCCGCAGCCTTTCCCTTGGACGACGCACCATTGCTCGATCGCGTGCTCGGCTTCCCATCCTTCTGCTTCGGCGCAGCGACGCCCTCGTGTGGCTGCGAGAGCGAGGTGCCTCCCACCGCTAATCTGCCGAGTTTGAGTATGGTGGCGGGAGTGACCGGCTGGATCTGACTAGCTTGCGAAAGACCGGTCGGGGATGCGGGCGAGGTAGGCAGAGAAGGAGTCGGCGACATAGACGGCCTTGATATAGCCGACAGAGGGACGTCCGACGGCGCTGGATGCGCGGGCGGAGGCATAGGAATGTCAAGAGGCGAAGGCGTGTCTCCGGGATGCTCGCCCGGGCCCGGTGCACCGCGCTGCGGACTTGGACGGATAGACGAGGGTATGCTGGGCGGGAAGAGCGGCGTGGACGTCGCAGAGCGCGTTGCGCGCATGCTCGCCCTCCTGCTACTAGAAGATCCACCGGTCGCAGTCCTTTCGGCCGGCGAGGGACGCTTGCGGGCTGGCTTGCTCGTCACGCTGGACTCGTCGCCACTGGACGACGTGTTCGGTCTTTTTGAGCCGGTCGTTCCGCTTCGTACACGACCGGTGATCGTCGACGGGCCAGCGGAGGACATCGAGTTGGCGGAATTGTGGTATGAGTCGAGCATGGGACTCGAGAGGGGCGGAAGCTCGCTCATGTCCAACTCTCCGGGAGAAGGGAGAGGATAGGCGGGGCTCTGGAAGACGATGTTCGCGGGGGCCGAGTGCGGGGCCGAGGGCAGCATGTGCTGAGGTATCTGAGGTATATAGTTGGGCAGCATGCCCGAATTGTGCACCATGTTGCCCAAGTTGGTCGCCCCGCCCGAGTGGAGAAGCATAGGCGAGACGAAGTCTGTGTTTTGCTGCGCGCGCAGCTCGGTAGACGATGCTTGGAAGCCGTGAGGCTCGATGCTCACGCGTAAGTAGATGTGCACGCACCTGGAGTAGGTAGGCCATACTGTGGGGTGTCCCGGGACCGGTCTATGACGGGGGGTAAAGTGGGGAAAAGTGATGCACCTCCGCTGAGCAGCTCGAGCTAGAGTTTACATGTCAGAGTCGTGTCGTTGCGCGCGCACGTACGATAGCCTCTCGCGCTCCTCCCACCTCCGCCTCCATCCATCCTTCCAACCCAACCGACTCTGATGATCCGAGAATGGCAGAGGAACGCACCTGTTGCTGGAAGATCTGCTGCTGCAACTGTTGCAGTTGTTGCAGTTGATTGATCTTCACCTGGTGCTCCAACATCGCTTGAGGGTTCGCTGCCGCATGCGAGTGTTGCTGCTGCTGGCCCTGCTGCCCAGAGGAGTCCTGCATAAGAAGGTTTTCGAGCATCTCCATGTTGACCTGCTGAAGGCTGCCGAGCTGCTGTTGAAAGTTCATCTGCTGCTGGGGTTGCGAGCCTGAGGAGCCGCCGTTGAAGATATCGCCAGCATCCCGAGGGGCGTCCTGGGGGTAGAACGGGTGCATGGAGGGCCGCCGCGGTGCGTCCGAGAAAATCAAAATGGCTGCAGGGGACAAAGCCCGCCAGTCCGCCCGCCAAGGGCTTTCCCGTATCCGCCGCTTTCCGTACCGCCCGCCAGTCAGAGCAGGCCTAATGGCGCCTTTGATAATTCCCGCTTAGCTCAGTTGGTAGAGCGCGTCACTAGTAGGCCATGACGAGGTCAGTCGTTCAAATCGGCTAGCGGGAATACGAGCTTTGTTCTCTGTGTTTTGGATTCTTTTTCTTTCTCATTGTTCCAAGCCCTGCAATTGTATTGCAAGTGGCCTCGGGCTGTAAATTCCTACACGTTCAACATGATTTCACTTTCTGACCCGCCGGGACATGCTTCACGAAGGCGCTAGTCGACATGCCCACTAGCTCGCATCCCACACCATGCCATCTCGCAATGGAGCTTACGACTCGAACAAGGAAGTCGCCCCCACCCTCTTGCGGCGCAAACGCGGGCGAACGGGACTTGAACTTACGCGGAGGAGAGCTTCTGATTAGTCGCAACCCGACTTCGCCATTCAGAAACACACTTTGACAGCTGTCGCCCGAAGAAGGCTTCCGCCGAGGGGCCTGGAGCATCCTGGTCAGGCGGCCGCGGGGTATTCATGGCCGCACCCCCAAGCAGCCAGGGAACGCCGCTGGACCCTACATGCTTGCTGGCCGTGACCCACGTCCACAGGCTTCTCGTGTTCGAGTTCCGTAGGCGGACGCCCGTGATCAGTGGGCGTCCTGCGTGTGGCGGAGGATGGGAAGGTTCAAGCGGGGATTCTATTCTGCGGAGGCATGCATGTCCGCCGATTCCATACCTGGCATGCGTGCCGCTGACCTGCGCCTGCCCGGGGTACCCGGGCAAACAGAATTTGACGCGACCTGCCGCGACGTGACGCGCCGCGTCAGTCCGCGTCACGTCGCGTCAGTCGCGTCACTGCCACCCACCATGC